AGATGTGTATAAGAGACATATATATATCAAGATAGCCGTTAACACTGTTAAATTATATATAAATCATCAAAGAAAGGTAAATACAATGTTAGAATAAAGAACATAATAACACATTGTGTAGCATATCTCTCAACGAATGTTGTCCTATAAATAAATTAATAAAGAAATTGTGTAATAATGGTTAATGGTTAATGGTTATTAATTTATAGAGCGCAAAATACAAAATGTCTGTAAGCGCTATCAGGCAAGTGTAAAGATGGAACGGAAACCAAAACCACAAAATAAAAAGAAGTGAAAAAAAGTATGGGATACGCCCTCATCGCTGGCTAGGGTTCAATCTAATTGAACTACAGTCAGCACCTGTTTTGTCTCGGCCATCTCGGATTCGGGCGCCTCCTATCCTAGTTAAGGCTATAAAAGCTAGCTGGCATGGAAATAGGAAAAAAAAAAAATTAAAGGGACGAGAATAAGTGGGTCTTAAGTCGCTCTTTGAAAATGGTGACAGAAGGTGACTCACGAATAAATAAAGGTAACAAGTTCCACAACTTGGGCCCAGCAACCATAAACGATCGCTCCCCACAAGACTTTAACCGAAAGGATGGACAATAAAGATATTTTGAGTCAGTTGTTGACCGGAGGGAACGAGTGCAAGTTGAAGAACGAACCTTAATTAATTCGGAAATGTATTGTGGTGATAACTTGTGAATTGATTTGTAAACATATAAAAGTACTTTGAATTCAATACGCTGTTTCACTGGCAACCAATGAAGACGACGAAAAGTAGGGGTGATGTGATGGAATATAGGTGTCCCAGTGACAAGACGAGCAGCGATGTTCATCAATAGCTGCAGCTTTCTAATTGATGTTAATGGTATTCCGTAAAGGACTCCATTACAATAATCCAATCTTGATGTAACCAATGCATGTACAAGTTTGATGTAGCATCTTCATTTAAAAAACTCCTAACTGCCTTGATGTTGCGGAGATGGAAGGATACTACTCTGCATGTGTTTGTAATATGTCTAAGTTTGTCTTGATGTTGCTCTACAATAGGTTTAGGATGTTGTTTGTATCAGACCTGCTATTTTATTTTTATGTGTGAATTAGAAACTAGCCTAGATTAGGCATAAACATTCAGTACTCCAAATGCAAGGGGTAAATGATCATAGCTTCCCTTAATTATGTAATCGAGTGGTTTGTAGAAAATATATCATTTATCCAGTATCATGTGTTACATTATTGTTTTACCTTTCTTCTTATAACTAAATAATATCACAATAACATCATTATTTATTATTCACATCATGTGTGTTATATATAATAATAATATATATATATATAATATATAATATAATAATAGTATATATTATTTAAGAATCTCTATTGAGATCCAGCGCCGCCATTGATGCACGGTAGAGATTGCATCTTTAGATCTCCGATTTTGTTCACAAATTCACGGACTAGTGCTGTCTCGTAAGAATTTTGTAGGACGCGTTAAGAATGACGTTCGACCAGCTTAGGTAGGGCCCAAACTAGTCCCACGACCACTAATGATTACAGATCCAAACCAAGGCAATATATATACACAGCCCAGGTGTGAATGCAAATAGTGGAATACAAGCTATGCGGCTCGGTTCCAGTAGATACAGAGAATATTTTGTAATTC